GCTTCTAACAAGCATCCCTTTACACCAGTGTAACGGCCCCGACATATATTGGTGGCTTTTGTTTTGGGCTACCAACGCATTTGCGAAATTTTGGTACGCTTACCCAGCCCAGATCGCAGTGTCGGCGCTAGGAACACGTGTGTTAAGGCCCAGCATGGGCAGGCGTTAGAGACACTCCCGGCTAGCTCAGTTGCCAGAGCATGAACTGATGCTAAAGCCCAACACCAGCTCTACTGAACCCCAGAATTTGACTCCAATGCGCGCCCTATAAGCTGATCTTTCGTATTAAAACATGGCGCTTGCCAAATCCACCTCCAGTTCAAATGGTTTTAGATCTGACCGCACCTAATTGAAAGAGACACACAGACCACAATCTTTGTATCGATGGGATAAGTCATATTTGCAAATAATCTTAATTTAATAGGTTAAATCTAATTCTGTTTTCTTTTTACGTCTTATAAAGCCTCGGTGCGCTATGAGTGTATTGTTGCAAACATAAAATGCCAATTTGTACCAACAGCCAATCAGCGTCAACAGGCCTGCTGACATCGATGGACTCTGAATGTTGTAAGTACGGCACAGTCGAAAATATTAAGTGTAAAAGGTCATAAATTGAGTGCAACAATAGCATAGCAATCCGCTAGAAAACTTTTGTTTACGTAAAACGCCTATAATTGAATGCGGCGTACATTTTGTTAGTATACTTAACTATTCACCTTTATTCTTGTATATATCACTTCCTAATTATAAGTAATTTTGTAAAAACACTTCTTATTTTCCTTATCTTACTTAAACTTCCTATCGTAATCAATATGAATTGTTTCTAAAGATGAATTTTCTTGAATTATATGCGGCTATTTTTGAAGAAAACATGATATAATTTAATTTCCCTATGGGCACCTAAAGTATCTCACACCTCAATTGCAAAAAGGGTAGGATCCTATAAGTTCTCCGATCCTACAGGTAGGGAGGGTATAGAAGAAGAACACTTCCATCTTAGTTCTTCAAATACATAAAGTAGACGCATCTCAAGGTAATACAAGTGGCTTTTTGGATTCATTCCTTATCTGTCTACGAATTTTTATTTATGTGACGGCCATGGAGTAAGCAGCACCAAAGAACCCCCCCATTAGCCCTGAGCACGGCTGGACCCCTATAGTAGACAGAGGTGTTGCCGAGACCGCATGATGTCGTGCACGTTACAAACTTTACAATATTCTTGCACATTTTTCAACTTTAACAATTTATTAAGTGGGTCAAAAGCCACTAAAACTTCATTTATCATTGCATGAGCAGTCGACTACGCCCCCAACCCCAACTCCACCCGACCAGTACCACCAACAACAACATAAACCAAAGAGCAGCAGCTGACAAGCATCTGAACAACTGCAGGCCAACCGGGCTTTTTCTGGGCGGTGAGTAGTGGGCGGCATCTGAGAGGGGGTCGATGGGCGGTATGTGATGGGCAGCGGTTGAGCGCGTTAAAATGCCAACAAATCGCAGAGACGAATGAGCGAAGCAACTGGAAGCGTTTCCGGCATGCCGCAGCTATTTTTCCAGCCCCACAGAACAAAGCGGCGCGAGGAAAAAGAGGTCCCGCCAAGTTTGTCCGCCGTAAAAAGAATACGCTAAAAGTCATACAATTTATTAGCAAGCACACGCATACACCCACCCACACACACACATTCACAAGCACACACGCTACCAGGGCTGACTTAATAGAATTTTAAATATGCATGTGTCCTTTTTTGCGTTGGTAACATTATGGCAGCACGTTGTGGCAGCCCCTGGCCATTGTACAAGCCAGTTATTTTCTGTAGACTGCGAGATCAACAATTATGCATTCGAATTTGATGGGCATATTGGGTTAATACACCAGATATTCATCTGTGAAGGACACGTTTTTATACCCAGTGCATAAAGGGTAAAAAGGGTATATATGTAGGCAACGAATGCACGAGCCCAAAGCAAAAACTTAACAAGCTGCTTAACCACAACCGAGATAAAAATCGTGTTACAAGATAGGCTTTTAGAACATTTTAATTTAGATGTCCAAGCGAGCAGTTAATGGCCATAGCTCTTTTGAACGGTAACGTAGGAATCAGGTATAGGCGGCTCACATTGCCAGATGTAAAAGCCAGTATTTCTTCGTTTTCGTCTACTGGCAATCCCGAGTGAATTCGAGAATTTTGAGATTACTGTAGGGTGGGAACACTTGCATAAGTTTTTGTATCACAAACAATTATTAAGTGGAGCTGGAGCACGGAAGCTGCAGTAAGAGTTTGGAAAGCAAATGTGCGCAGTAGAGGTGCACCAGTTTTTAAGAAATAGACAGAAACATGGCACAGAGACTTCGATGGAATATTTATACAGCTTGGTAGAAGTAGAAAAGCCAAAAAGTCTATACTAGAAAAAATTCTATACTACATATTTCATAAATGGCATCCAGGATTTATATAATTACTGAGCTAAATTAATACCCAATTATCGCATACATTACAAACTAATAAATTATATGGGATTATACAACATGATAAGTTGTATACATTCGGCAACATTATAAAGGAGTACAACCTATTGCGAGCAATTTTTTATAGCCTGTACCCAAAGGGTGAAAGGCTATACTAGTTTTGTGCGCATGTATGTAACACACAGAAGGAGGCGTGGCAGACCCCACAAAGTATATATATTCTTGATCAGGATGAGAAGACGAGTCGATATAGCCATGTCCGTCTGTCCGTCTGTCCGTCTGTCTGTATGAGCGCAAGGATCTCAGTAAGTACAAGAGCTAGGATAACCAAAATTGGTATCAAGGTTCCTATAAGCCCTAGGCAGAACGAGTTTGTTTATTTTTTCTGATACACCCCCCCACTCCCCCGCAATTCGTATTTTTTCTTATAACTTCCGTAATTCTCGGAATTTAAAAATCAATTTTGGTAGGTACATCCAGTTAGTGCTAATGTGTTCGTGTGCCAAATTTCATCATGATAGGTCAATTCTGAAGAAAGTTATAGCCATAAGTAAAATCGCTGCTCATGCGCTGCCTGCAGCTCTGTCGGCAGAGCTGCCCGCAGCTGTTGTTGTTGTTGCTGCTTTTGTTCAACTTTGTGCTGCATACATACACGCATATGAACACGCATAGGTACGTGATGTAAATGTATGCTGTTTAAACTGAACATAAACATGTATTCTAATTTAATTAAATTAATTATTTTAATTAATTAATTAATTCTTTTTTTTTTAATAATTTAATTTTTTTTAATTTTTTTTTTTAATTTTTCCTTTTTGTGGAGAGTACAGGCTATTTTACTGTCGGGCTTGCTCGACTGTAGCGTTCTATCTTGTTTGGAGATAAAAGCATGCAAAAAGGATATGGCCTCGAAATTGCTCGTATTTCTTTCATTTTACACAGTCTTGAAGATATATAATCTAGGATTTTGACAGCTTAAAGTTTTGCAGTGCACCAGCTTTAAGACGATCATTAATATTCTAGGAATGGGCTTGCTAGTCATTGCTACGGCCTCCTCTTCGCACCAGTAACTCATGTTTATATCGATGCAAAAGAATTAAGGTGCAAAAATATAAGTAATATAGTGTATAGTAATATAATGAAATACAAAATATGCAATACATGCATACATACATACATTTACTTCAGAATCGTGCCTATGCATGTTTCTGCATGTATGTGTGCATTACATATGTACAACTATGTGTGCATTGCATAATTATGTCAGAGCAGCAACAACAACAGCCGCGGGCAGAGCTTGGCCAGATTATATATTTATGGCTATAACTTCATAATTGGCCTATCGTAATGAAATGGCATATAGACTTGTTATCACTAACTGGTGGTATTTGACAAATCTGCGTACAAAATTCCAAAAATTACGAGAGTTACGGGAAAAACACGAATTGCGGTGGGTGGGATGGGGTTGTATCAGAAAAAAAACACAAACTCGTCCTTTCTTGGACTTAGAAGAATCTGGATACCAAGTTTGGTTATTCTCGCTCTTGTACCTTGCGTTCATACAGACGGACGAACGGACGGGCAGGCGGACATGGCTTTATCGACTCGACTTGTCAATCAATAATATACAAATACTAAGTATGTATGTATGTAACAGGCAGAAGGAGGCGTGGCAACCATTAAAAGTATATATATTTTTGATCAGGGTGACAAGCGGAGTCGATATAGCCATGTCCGTATGTCCGTCCGATTGGACGAGCGCAAGGATCTCAGAAGGTACAAGAGATAGAATTACCAAACTTGGTATCCAGGTGTCCATAAGCCCTAGGCAGGTCAAGAGTGTTTTTATACCCTGTACCCGTAGAGTAACAAGAGAGAACGCTACAGTCGAGCAAGCCCGACAGTGAAATACCCTGTACCCAGGTAAACTACTGACACTGAGGTATATGCGCTTCCAGCAGCAAAAGGAAGAAGAAGAGCGAACTTCTTGCTGCAGTTTGGGGGGGTTGTACTGGAGAGAAATTGTTTCGCTAATAACTTTTCTTAGAATTGACCAAATTGGATAAAATTTTAAGTAAAAGTAAAGTTTGGTTGACGAAATTCTGTAGAGGAAGGGGAAAAATTAAAAAAAATAAAATAAACTCGTCCTTTCTCGGACCTAGGAGAATCTAGAACTTTGGTTGTTCCAGCTTTCATAGTTTCTGAGATCCTTGCGTTCATCCAGACGGACATGTCTAGATCGATTTCTCTCATCATGCTGATTCAGAATATATATACCTTATGGGGTCGGAGATGCTTCCTTCTGTATGTTACATACTTTGCACAAACCTAATATACCCTTTTTACCCTACGGGTACAGGGTATAATAATACTAAAACAAAAACCGATTCAAACAAACTTTTAGCTACAAATATTGTTTCAGAACTTTTATTAAAAAATTCTTTTATAGCTATATATTTTTTTTTAAATTTAAGTGTGTAAAGTAATTTAACTTTTCCCTGACCTCAGAAACTAAACTAACATCTGCCCCTTAAACCTTAAGATCATCATCGTTACAGCGTCGCGCACATAAGCCTAGGCGGCAGACATCCTCATCGACGACGCGGAACGCCAAATCACGATTCTTGCAGTTATAGGTGTCCAAGACGCACTGGTTGGCGAACTCATGCGTGCAGATGCCGTTATGCGCGCAAATGGGCACGAAGTCATGCTTGGTGCAGAGAATATCACAGTTCTCTGAGGGCTTAGACTCCATCATTATGGGTAATGGCGTTGTGGTCATATATGCTAGCAAGAGCTGATGGCAGGTCTTTGAGGGTCCACGCTTGGGAACTATAGTTGGGGTTGGGATGGTGGTGGGTGGAAGGACAGCAACGGGCATGACTTCGGAGGCGGCTCTGCTCCCCGTATTATGAGGAATTCCAGGATTAGAAATACCATAATTGGAAATGCCATGGTTTGGAATCCCTGCGTTTGGAATGCCTTCGTTCGGGATACCAGGACTTGGAAGACCTCGGTTGGGAATACCAGGATTGGGAATGCCGTGGTTCGGTATTCCTTTATTCGTTGTCTCCATAATAGCACGTCTGTCCCGAGACAACCAAGCGTCCTTTGTCGAAGGCACTTGAGCAACTGTCTCCACGATCTTGTCCTGTTTGTTTTCAGCTACTCGGGAATTATCCACATTTTTCGAGATAAGAGATACATCCTCATCAACGGCACGTCTGTCCCGAGATAACCAAGCATCCTTTGTCGAAGGCATTTGAGCAACTGTCTCCACAATCTTGTCCTTTTTGTTTTCAATAACTCGAGGAATATCTACAGGATCCGAAACTCCAGATTTTGGGTCCTCCACAATAGCGCGTATATTTCGCACAAGTACTGATTCCTTCACCAAGGGAACTTCCACAGTGGGTGGCACCACAACCTCCTCAACCACTTTTCCCGGCGTGATCTCAATTACGCGGGCCATCTCCACATGATCGTCAGCCGTCAGGGGCTTTTCGTTGGACAGCAATGGTACTTCTACAGCAACACGACCGATCTCTGAATTTGGCACAACCTGCGCTGTGGCGAAGACGAAACACAGCAGCACTGAAAGGTAACAACAAACTGTAAGTCTCGAATCCTTTTCGAAACAAACACTGGAGTCTTACCTGCGGCCAATACTAAAGACAGCTTATACATCTTGTTAGTTCAATTTGTCTTCTGTGTCCTTCAGTCCCCAAGGCCGATGTTTATATAAAAACATTTGAAGCCGGTTCGAACCGGTCCCAAGAACAGCAGCTGTGCTGAGACGAACTTCCAATTGCGCAATGCATGCGCAACCGGTTCTCGACTCCGAAATGCTTTCCTCATTAAATTTAACATTTATGATAATTGCGCTCCAAATGCTTATTGGGTGGCGCCTTTATTAGTGATGTTTTGCTTATGGAAAGGCAAAGGAATCGTTAAATTCTCTTTTAACCGACTTCAAAAAAGAAGGAGGTTCTCAATACGTCTGTATTATTAAATTTTTTATGTTTGTTACCTCACAACTTTCGACTGGATGAACTGATTTTAATGATTCTTTTTCCATTTGAAAGCTGGTGCTTCCCGAATGGTCTCACTTTAATTTGATGCAGTTCTGACAATGGCATCCCTGAGAAAGCCATATAAGTTGTCAATTTCAACTAAGTATGTGCGCGACATATGGGCGAATAATTCAATATCACGCTTCCCGATGTCAATGATTTTTTATACTCTTTACATGCGGGAGCTGAAAAATGTAACAGGCAGATCGAGGCGTGGCAGACCCCACAAAGTATATATATATTCTTGATCAGCAAGACGAGACGAGTCGATCTAGCCCTGTCTGTCTGTCTGTCCGTCTGTCTGTCCGTCTGTCTGTCCGTCTGTCTGTCCGTCTGTCTGTCCGTATGAACACCTGGATCTCAGAGACTATAAGAGAAAGAGACACCAAATTTTGCACAAAGATGCCTTATGTGTGTATTCTATACAAGTTTGTTTTATTTTTTTGATTTTCCCCCCCACTTCCCCCCTATGGGGGTTCTCCCGATTTTCCATTCGTATAATCGCCTATATCTCGGAGACTATAAGACCTAGGAACACCAAATTTCAGTCCCAGATGCCTTGTATGAATACGCAGAAAATGTACATTTTGGAATTTCCCTCCCTCCCCCCTCTCCCCCGCAAATGCGATTTTCTCTAACTCCCGTAATTCTTGGAATTTCGAACTAAAATACCTCCAGTTAGTTATGTGTCCGTATGCCAAGTTTCACTATGATAGACCGATTTAACAAGAAGTTATAGCCATAAATATATTTGCTGCTGCAGCGCTGCTCAAGCGCTGCCCGCGGCTGTTGTTGATGTTGCTGTTTGGTTGACTGCTAACATGTTTACACAGACACGAATAGATGCTCATAAACATACATACACGCACACAGACGCAATTGCTATGTAAATGTGCAATTACAAGTATACACAATTTTCGTGAGTTCGAATACCGAGAAAGGTAAAATCGATAAAATTTTTTTTTCTAATTTCTACAATTATACTAAGCATATGTACAGAGTATTTCATAGTCGGGATACCTGACTTTATTGGTAAATTGAAAAACCTATTTCTAAGTATATTTTGGAAATCGTTGAATACCAAATTCTAGATATAGTTAAGTTGATTATGGACCCCAAATTTGATATCGATCGGACAAAATAAATAAATAAGACAAACTTTTCAATTGGTAACAAGAAAGAAATGCTAAAGTCGAGCAGGCTCAACTCTTAAATACCCTGTACCTCCCACCAAAAACGAACAAAAACAAGAGAGAACGCTACAGTCGAGCAAGCCCGACAGTGTAATACCCTGTACCCAGGTAAACTTCCGTCACTGAGTTATATGCGCCCATAGCAGCAGCAAAAAGAGGAAGAAGAAGAGCGAACTTGTTGCTGCAGTTTGGGGGGGGTTGTACTGGCGAGAATTTGTTTTGCTAATAACTTTTCTTAGAATTGACAGAATTGAATATACAACAGTAGACAATTATATATTAATTATGTGTGCAAAGTTTGGTTTAGGTAGCATTTGAAATGTGGACGCTATTGACGAAATTCTGTAGCGGGGGAAGGGGGGGAAAATTAAAAAAAATAAATAAACTCGTCCTTACTCGGACCTAGGAGAATCTGGATGCCAACTTTGGTTATTCTAGCTTTTATAGTTTCTGAGATCCTCGCGTTCATCCAGACGGACAGACGGACGGACAGACGGACGGACATGTCTAGATCGATTTCTCTCGTCATGCTGATCAAGAATATATATACTTTATGGGGTCGGAGATGCTTCCTTCTGTATGTTACATACTTTGCACAAACCTAATATACCCTTTTTACCCTACGGGTACAGGGTATACAAATTTTTAAATGGCGTATATAACTCAGTGACGGAAGTTTACCTGGGTACAGGGTATTACACTGTCGGGCTTGCTCGACTGTAGCGTTCTCTCTTGTTTTTAATTAATTTTAAAAAATACTATTAAATAAATTAAATACAAATTATTTAATACATACATATATATAGTATATATACTTGTATATATAAAAGAGGAGACATATTCATGTTAAGTTTGAACAGCATACATTTACATCAGAATCGTGCCTTTGCGTGTTTATACAAGGTGTGGTCCAAAGTAAACAGGACTTTAAAAAAAAAAATAGAACAAATGGTTTTTTCGGCAAAATCAATTTATTTTATTCAAAATAGTCTCCTTCTGCTTCAATACAGCTGTTTGCACTATCCAAAAGCATGTCGAACGAGTGTTTTAGCTCGTTGGCCGGTATGGCCGCCAGTATGCCGGTGCAAGCCTTTTGAATGGCCTCTACGTCTGCATAACGTTTTCCTTTCATGGGCAAATGCATTTTTCCGAAAAGGTAGAAGTCGCACGGTGCCATATAAAAGTTTTACCAATTTTAAAACAAAATTTAATGTTGGCTCTTTGTTCGAAGCTCATTTTCGCACCGATAACACAAACATACTGACACTTAAATCGCAATGACTTCTCTTCCAATCGATGAAATGTCATGAAATTCTCACTGGACAATCGATAAAGATAGCAGATTCTAACGCACCAGTCGACATATAGATAGCGCCACCAGGGGGCGCTAGATTCAAAAAGTCCTGTTTACTTTGGAACGCAGCTTGTATGCGTGTATGTATGCAGCACAAAGTTGAACCAAAGCAGCAACAACAACAACAGTTGCGGGCAGAGCTTCAGAATTGACCTATCATGATGAATTCGGACAGATAACCACAAACTGGATGTATATGCCAAATTTGAGTTCAATATTCCGTGAATTACGAGAATTAGTTATGAAAAACACGAATTGCGGGGGACACGGTCGACTCGGCTTGTCACCATGATCAAGAATATATATACTTTGTGGGGTCTGCCACGCCTCCTTCTGCCTGTTACATAAATTCGCACGAACCTAGTATAGCCTTTTACCATTTGGGTACAGGCTATAAAAAGTGAAAAAATATTTAAATCCCAATATTTCGCGTATGTATTTAAAAAGTGCAAAGACATGACATTTCATGGCACTTATTGAACCAGAACTACTCTTACAATTCTCAACTTACAATTTTCTGTATGAAAGTCATCGATTTCCAGATAGATTTGGTCAATGAGATTTCAGAAGGCATTTAATTGGATCTGAATATTCTTGAAACCAGCTTAAAGCGACCTGAAATGCATTCTCTTACTTCCACTATCGAGGAGAAAAGTACAAATGTTATTAGAGACTAAAACTCTGGAAATTATAAATGCGGTTATATGATGTCATCCAATGGATTAATTGTATCATTGAGGTGCTATACTTGTATATATAAAAACCAGGCGTAAATCGAGTCAGCAATGTACTTTAAACAGACCATTAACATTATTTAATACATATTTATCATTAACAATATTCAATACAATTTAAATGTTTGTATGTATATAAATATATATGTATGTATATGTATATATAAATAGAGACAGAGAAAGAGAGAGAGAGGGAGAGGGAGAGAGAGATAGAGTTTTCTAATACACATATCAAGCTAAACAGTTTTGTTAAAACAAAATATATCTTAGGTACATCTGCATATCTAGCTAGACACAGTTTTTTTTATTTCATATGATTTACATATTTATGTTTTTGGTGCTTTTATATTATGCCAAAATAGCAATTTCTTGTGTATGTATGTATATATAATTTGTCTATATATATATAGTTTGTAAAAATTAAAATATTTAACAGTTGATTGCAATGAGGCGGATTTCCATAATATCATTCGTTACAACATTTGTTTGAATACCTCCAAGTTTGAGGTTTGTTCTCTTCTTTTATTTTTGTTATTATCGGCAGTTAAGCAGCTTACACTGAAGTACTTTAAAGATTACAAATCGCCCTTGGTTGGACAGGAATGCACATTGATTTAAGACTATATAGCGAGTAAGCTCCATGACTGCCTTTTACTTTATATCTACCTTCTGTAGTAACCTCTACTTTATAAACAACTACATTTATATAAAGATATTTTTTATTTATGTTCAAGACATGTAAATTTCAATAAATAAATATGCAAATTTCGATTTCTGTAAATCATCAAAATAACACGTTTATCGTCAATACTAATTTAAGTATATTTACTTTTGTAATTAAATCAAACTCTAAATATACACGTATGTATTTGCATATATTAATGCGACGGTGTTTAACGCCGCAACTGACTTTCATATTTCGATTTCGATATACATACAATAAACTAACATAAAATATCAATACACATGTTGCATGCTTTATGCTTTATAGGTACAATATGTATGTATGATTAGGTTGGCTCAAGTGCGAGTATCTATGTATGTATGTACGAGTACGTATGGATATGAATTATGCTCCTCTACTTAACGTTTAAATGCCAATCCTGCCACTTTTCACACCACCTAGATATACTTGTATTTACTATACGAAGTAAATACTCGTACTTAATATGAAATCAATATTTGTTACTGTGTGGTATGTTCTATATTAATAGAATAGGTTTTTCTTTTAAAGTTTGTTCCTCTATGTATTTGCATTATTCATTAGCCTCTGTTTTATCTATGTATGAAACTACACTCTTTGTTCACTTAACTAAGTGCCATGCTCCAGCACAATCCGCAAAGTGACAAAAAAATTATAAAATAATTATAACACAGCTGCGGTCATGTTAACGCTTTTGCTGAGCCCTTAGCCCCCGTTTTCTTGATATGATTGCGATGCAAATAAAATATAAAATATCTCGTACATATAGCAATGCTATCTACTATGTACGTTTTACAGTTATATGTTTATAATTTGTACCTACATTTGTAAGTATGTATGTAAATTTTGTTCTATACTAAGCAGCGCTACATGAAAATTCGTTCAAGTCGCGGTCGACAATTTAAACATAAAACGGAGCCTTTATATTAAGTTCAACTAACAAAATTATTTTACTGATGTTTTCTGTCTGTGTGTGTTGCTTATACAGCTGAGTACATACATATGTATATACCTGCATTGGATAATTAAGCTATTTGTGTATTATACTTATTTGTATGTACTTGCAGTGCAGTTATGTATAATTTACTTGCAACTAAACATGCGACTTGTTCTATATAAAATATACCTACACATATGCACGTTTTCCGATTGCATACGCAATCAATGTGTCCACGAACTTATTTGTATATGAGCAGAAAATCCTTCTAAGCAACAAATATACAAATATATGCATCTATGTAAATACTTTGCAGGCAAACCTCCAAGATATGTTTAGGGTTATATTTTGTTCGTTTTCGCTGCTGCTCTCCATGTTCAGTAGCACACCCGATTTCCCTATCGACCTTTCCCTCATTTCACTAGACCGTCCTTAGTAATACAAAAGGTTGCACCTAACGTATCTCTATGTTATAGGTATTAGGTATACATACATACTCGTATATTGTATGCATAAAGAAATAAAATAATATTGGTTTAAGCCATAGCTAACGATCGTGTGGAAAACAGGCTACTATGTAAGAATGTGAACACTCAGGAAACATAGACATAGTACATACTATATGAATGATCTTCAGGACGCAGGTAGATTTTCTAAGATATCTTTGCAAAACTAAAATATTTGATTTTACTAAAAATAAGAAACCTATTCCAAAAAGAAATGTTCACACTTTTATGAGAATTTGCATAACTATGGATTTTAAACTATTAATAGAATCTGTATTATTCTATATTTATAATATGGAATTAGAATGGGCTTTAGAATGGTTTTAGCCATAGCTAATGATCGTGTGGAAAACAGGCTACTATGTCCGAATGTGAACACTCAGGAAACATAGACATAGTACATATACATATACTATATGCATAATCTTCAGAACGCTGGTCGATTTTGTAATATATCTTTGCAAAACTAAAATGTTTGAAATTTACAAAATATATTCACACTTCTATGCGAATCGGCATAGCTGTTGGTGTTTAAACTATTAACCGAATCTGTATTATTATATACCTATAATATGGATTAGAATGGTTTTTCAATCTATTAAAATCAAATTTATGAACCCATAGACTGCGAACAAAATTGTTTTGAATGGCAAATACCCGTACTTGTGTATGGTAATGAGATTTACTGTGCAAAAGGATTGTGCGGATTAGCTCCAGGTATGTCCAAGTTTCCGCCAGTGGTCTGATAGGTTCCGTATGTATTTCCAGTACCGCCGTTAGGATTCATTTCATTTAAACGCGAGTTGGAGAGCGCGCGTGGAATGGGGTTGCTGGGCACGCCATGGGGCGCCAGATGTGACGTTTCCTCAGCCACCTGCAACCCATACAATCAGTCAACTGCTGACGAAAATAGTCGTACTCACCTGGTGTGGGTCCTCGGTCACGGGAATGTCCGATATGAAGCCCTGCTCCTTGCGGTAGAAGTTCACAAAGATGAAGAAGCCCAGAACAAATAAGCAGGCAATACCATACCAACGGAAGGTAGCAGTAGTACCGTAGTAGGTGACAAACATGCCGCCAATAATGGCGCCACAACCACGCCCCAAGCCGTGGTGGATACCTTGGAGCACGCCTTGCGCCGAGGCGCGCAGGTGCTTCGGAGTATTATGGGCAATGTATGAGCAAGAAGCGGCCCACACAGCCGCATGCGTGATGCCCTGCATCAACTCGAAAGGCAGCACCATCCAAGGATTGGTCAGATACGAAATGTACAGAAAACGTAGCACATTACCAATTAGACCCAGACACAGGACCTTTACATGGCCGATTTGTGTGATCAAACGGAAACTAAAGAAGTAGGCAAAGATCTCAGAAACATGATTGATAACAGAGGCAACACCAAAGAGCGTAGGCGTGCCACCATAGTCCTGCAGATGCCAGAATAGGAACGTAAAGATCAGACCAATTCCGAATCCCATGAACCACGCAACAAACAGGAACGAGGCGGTCTTCAGATCCTTAAAGTGCGTGAGCACCGTCATCCACTCTGGCATCTCTTTGGCCGTTTGTGCAAACACCTTGGACTCGGCGCCTATATGCGGCTGCGGCTGATGGCTGGAAGCAACATAACTACTTATGCCACCGGCACAGACACCCGACGCGGCACTGCCGCTACCCACTGCCAGTGATGGTAAATTGAGCTGGGCCGCAAGCTGATTCATGGACTCATCCTCTGCTTTTTGGTTGGGATCTACGAACTGCGCCGCAGGCTGTTGCTGCTCGTCCAATGGATCGTACTTGAATGTGATCCTTGAGGCAGAAATTATTGCGCATGTCATGAGCACGGAGAATATGGAGAAACATATGTTGTAGTTCTTTTCCTTATTACCAGCACCGCAAGGATGATTCGAAAACGAGGTGGAGTGGTCCAGGGCAATGCCTACGAGAAACATGGATATACCCCAGCCCAACGATCCAACTGCCAAAACAACGTGATTAGACCGCGATGGTTTAATTATTCATACATATTTATGTCTATTTACTTACACATGCGCTGGTGCCCATATTTGTCCGCATCCTCACCAAGCAACGTGATGACTGCCGAGTCGGCCAGCGTAATGGCGGGTGCGCTAAAGAACTCACCAATCAATATGACTAGCAGCAATAAAAAGAATGCTTTTTGTATGTCCTGCCAAAGAAATACAAAGTAAAAGCATACAACAATTAAAATGCACGATTACAAATGCTACTACTCCCTAATTTTTAAAGATATCCCGCTGATTCTTTGCTACAATCTATGAAGGACCAACCAGATCAGACAACTATTTAATAGCTTTCATCGAGACACAATTATTTTCAATAAACTAATATTATAAAGGCGAAAGATTTGATTGTTTGTTTGTTTATTTGAATTGAACACCTAAAAAAGAACAAAAAAAAAACAAATCAAAAATATCCAAACTTTATTTATAATTTTACTTTTTATACCCTGTACCCAAAGGGTACAAGGGTATATTAGTTTTGTGCGAGTGCACATGGAACACACAGAAGGAGGCTTGGTAGACCCCACAAAGTATATATATTCTTGATCAGCATGACAAGCCGAGTCGATATAGCCATGTCCGTCTGTCCGTCTGTCTGTCCGTCTGTCTGTCCGTCTGTCTGTCCGTCTGTCTGTCTGTATGAACGCAAGGATCTCCGAAAGTATAAGAGCTAGAATAACCAAACTTGGTATACAGATTCTCCTGAGACCGAGAAAGGACGAGTTTGTTAATTTTTTCTGATCCACCCCCCCACTCCCCCCCTATTAACGATTTTCTATAACTCCCGTAATTCTTAGAATTTTGAAATAAAATTTGGTAGTCACATTTGGTTAGTAATTATATATCCATATACCAAGTTTCATTATGATAGAATGATCGGAAAGAAAGTTATAGCCATATAACCAGGCCCAATGCAAACATACATACATATGTACAAGTGCACAAACACGCATAAGGCACGATTCTGATGTAAATGTAAATGTATGTATGCATGCATGGAATATTTTATATTTAATTAGTTAATATTTAGTTAATTAATTAAATTAATTTAGTTAATTAATTTAATTAAATTAATTTAGTTAATTAATTTAATTAAATTAATTAATTAATTTAATTACTTTTTTGTGGGGTGGTACAGGGTATTTAAGAGTTGAGCCTGCTCGACTTTAGCATTCCTTTCTTGTTTTTAGTAAAATACACGTGCGAATCAGGGGCGGGACGCTAGTTTAAAATAAATAACATGCTGGCGCCATCACTTACGAACAGAATGCTTAAATTTATTACAAATTGTTATACCTTTCACTCTATCGAATAATCTTTCTGATAATCGTGCGGATTCTTCTGATCTACTTGTATAGTTTCCCCCCACAGATGCATACAAACATACTGCAGGGAGCTGTCTGTAGTTGTGGTTCATTAAAATTTTTTTTAAGACTTAACATAAATGATTCTATTGCATTACTCACCGGAGTGCGATAGACCATAGAACTGAAGATGGGAGTCACATAGTCGCGATGATACTTATGGTCGTAGTTGCTGACAAAGTTGATGTGCACTGGGGAAATTCCGGCATCGATGCGGGGCAGCAGCAGAGAACGCTTCCGCCTATCGTGCGACTCCTCGGGATCCTCATCCATGGTTAAGGTTCCGTCATAGTGCTCAGGTACTTCAGCCATGTCGTAGACTGCAGAGAGATCGCGCTTGGTGCGCGTGTAAGTGAGCACAAAGTCCGTGGCATTTCGTCGCTCTATGCAATTGACGGCCTCTGGGCGTATGAAGCTAAGCGGTATGGTGAACAGCACCCAACAAGCCAACGATGCAAGCAGCAGCTTCTTGCCCTGTCGGCAGCGATCGGCATACGAGCCCCAGAACGGCGCCGAGAGAAACTCCACAAATGGCCTCATGCCCACTAATATACCGCATTGGCCAGGATTCATACCCATTTGCTTAAAGTAAACGCCCATCAGGGGGAACAAAGATCCAAAGGCGGCATAGAAGAAAAAGTAAAAGCTCTTCACCGGTATGAGCTCATGCTCTGTTGGCCCAAAAAACATTTCCAATATGTCCGAGTGGCCGCGTATTTTGTGCGTTGATTCTTTTGCCTCGGGATATCTGAAAATAAAATAGATATAAATATTTTTAGTGCATTGAATGGCTTGGTAAACACCCATGGTTTGTCACTTACAAGCTGGGATCCACTTCGCCACTGGCCTCCACATCGACACGTGGTCTAGCGCCAGGCGGTCCATAGCCTGCGCCCTCCTGCACATAACCTACACCGCCACTCGTGCCTTGATCATAACCAGATGTCTGCTGATCGTAGCCATAGCCCGGTTGCTGTGGTGCTTGTTGCCCATAGCCCACACCACCCGTGGGAGCCCCAAATGGGTTTGGACCGCCACCCTGATTGTAAGGATTCATTTTAATGTACAGTAAATTTTACTGTCTCTTCTGGATGCCTCGCTGCTGTTCTTCCTTTTCACTTCCGAGTTGCTTCACCTAAGCTCTTTATGCTCTGGTTTGTTCCTTTTGCTTTTTCCGCTCTTCAACCTCGTTGTCTACAGCAGCAACATCCTGCTCTATGGTTGCTGCAACAAACAATGCCATTCAAATATCTTTAACAACAATAAGCTTGAAATTACTCTCATTTGCCATAAGTGTGCAGAAACAGCTTACAAAGTCTGCAAATCAGATATTTCGATTTTTCTCTTAACCTAAACTAAGAATATACTGGGATAACTTTAAGCTTTACGTTGTACTATAATGTGTACATTCTATACATAATGTAAAAAATAACAATTTAAAATAGTAATCGTGTTTTATCAGCCAAACCCGTTCTAGCACGTCTTGATCTTGAATTGCCCATTTCCGGTGTACGCTTAACAGACATACCGTTTGATCGACAAGAGTTGAGAATACCCAAGTCTTCACTCTACTTAAGATATTAAAAGAACTTTTAATTCTTGCTGTTGTACAAGACAGCGGCTTTAATGCTAGGGAAGAGCATTCCAGCCTCTGGCTCTGACATATTGACTTATTTTTTCCTTCCACAGCTTGAACCATAGCTCGGCGTCTTGGCTAAATGCAAGTATGCCTGATGACTACAACATTGGTACTATCCTTAAGGTTTGTACCAACTATCGTGAAATATAAGGTCGTATTTAAGGTTAAATCGAGCGTATTGTTCGATAAACTAAAGCAATTTGCGAAGGCACAGATTAGGCCTTATCAGTGCAGCTTTATACTTGACCAGACCTCTATTGATCAGATATTCACGGCAAGCCAATTCTGGAAGAAAACCACGAATCCGAATTTACGGTAAACATTTTTTGAGGGACCGCATATATGCAGCAATATCTCAGTTCTTTATTCCTGAAAAATTTGTTTGACTTTGCAGAATGACGAAATCTGGGCTTAGGGATCAATGAGAGCAAGTTGAGGCAAATGTTTCCCGTAACCAAGGAGGCGCGGCAGCCAGACCTTCAGATCGTAGTGGAAAACTATACTTTCGAAACGGTGAAAGATTTCGTGTATCTTGACACCATCGTCAAAACAACTAACATTGTCAGCATATAAATCAAACTGTTCAAAGATTTAACTCCATGAAACTCCTGATATTTGATAAATTGAAAAGGCTACTGAAGGCCATAACAGAATACCATCGGAAAAACATTGGCATATGTGTATTGCATCAAGAGGGAATTACTTTGAAGACAATAATAAAAATGCTTTTATGTATAAATAAAGATTTTCAAAATTAAACCCAAAGTCCATGTAATTTTTGCACCCAGTATTTAATATTATGTAATTGTACTCATTTAAATATACGGAGATACTTATTCCTTGGCTATACTTAACTTTAAAACAAGTAAAAATGCTAAAGTCGGTTGTCCCGACATTAAAATACTCTGTACATATGTATGTCTAGAATAATTATGCGTGTCTTTGCGTGTATGTTTGGGTCTGTGTACCTGTGCAAAGCAGTAACAACAACAACACCTGCGGTTACTGTTTAGTCATATATACATATATGGCTATAACTTGCTGTTAAATCGAAATAATCAAAAAAATAAAACAAACTTGCACTGCGTACACACATAAGGCATCTTTGTGCAAAATTTGGTGTCTCTAGCTCTTATAGTCTCTGAGATCCAGGTGTTCATACGGACAGACGGACAGACAGACAGGGCTAGATCGACTCGTCTTGTCATGCTGACCAAGAATATATATACTTTGTGGCACGCCTCCTTCTTCTTGTTACATTTTTCAGCTCCTGCAAACCTAATATACTCTTGTACATTTCATGTACAGAGTGTAAATAATTGATTGTTATAATGGACAAACATATTTAAAACAGAGCGCATATTTAGAAGACTTCAGCAAATTGAAATTTAGTAAACTGGAATCCATTTGTATCGCAACAACTGCACCTAGACATTACTCAATAAATAGCATTTATCATTCCTAGTGTCCTTATTAGTCTGACATGCTTACTACGCACGATCCCCCTACACAAATGAGAATTTGCGGGCGGATGACATAGTTTGCCAGCTGGCCACTTAACATTGAAAGTGGCAATTCCATTGCGCCGCAAGCAACATGGAACTCATAGTGGAAGGCAACAATAACAAATGCGAAAGAATGCAAAGCGGATGGCAAGTGAATTGGCCCCACTCAGCTCGCTCTCCACGTGTTTCACGATGCGTATATGTATGTGTACGAGTACGTGAGTGTAAGTGTCAGCGGCAGTTTAGTGGAAACTGCTTAAGGGCGAACTTTGAGCACATTGCGCAACATACCCATTGAGTAATTTTGGATACGACTTTTCCTTTAATCTGTACCTTATTCGGCTGACGCTTCACGCGGCAGACGTTTTATGAATGTATGTATGTAGGTAAGTGTGTATGTATGTATGGACATATGTATACGTGTTGTATAGGCGGAGTGTCTACGAATTGTTGTTCCAATAGATGTATATAAAAAAGGGTACTGAGGTTTGAATAGTAAATTAAAAACTAAAGAATTGCAGAAAATGTTGAAGTTTCCAATATTGTTAATGTGTGTGTATGTATATCTATGTACGGGTGTATTTGTTCCCAAATTTCTCCATACAATGCTAATACTGAATAGAGCCAGACTTTTACATAAGCTCCATTATTATTTACACACAAAATTAATTGGCCAGAGTCAGTATGTAGGTTTTCACTTTAGAGCATAACGTGTTGCCTTCTATGTTATACTCGTATGTATCGTATCCATTAATATACGCAGTCGCAGATATTAACATATTTATGTATACTTCTCCAAAGCACTTTTTGCACAAGTGACAAGATGATGGCACTTCTTGAAGGCCAAGTTCACTTTATATTTTCATTGGAAATGTCCCAATTCACAATTATTACAACGCTTCATAGAATAATATAAGTTTTCTACTATATTCTATGTTTTTTTCTTACACGCACCAAGTAGCTTAGCACATTTATAAAAATTTTCAAGAAGCGTTTTAGCACAATTGTTACGTGCGTAATCGATAGAAAAGTTTCACTAGATGAACACTTCTTGCCTCTATACGCGCACTTGGCAGGCAGCTGAAAATTTTTCAAAGAGCTCAAAAGCGGAAAAGCTCGCTCAAGCGCGTGTGTTAAACTTAATGAGATTTGATACAAATGCAGGAACGCCTGTACGAGGGAGAGAAAGAGCGCACACAAGAGAGAGCGGGCGGCTTGACAACATGGCGCAAAAGTGCTCCATAATCACAAATAACGCCAACCTATCCGCCAACTATCAAAGGCAAGGACATCGTGAATGTAAAAACATAAGGAAATTAGTTTTCGAAACTTTAGGAGTAAATTAAGGTCTGGATTCCTAACTTCCTCGGTTTATCTGGCCAAGCCAAGTTAGTAGGTTTTTTACCATTATATGCTATCACAAACTAAGCCCATTTTCAGGACATCCTGGGTGTAAATAAAAGTTTAATGTTGAATAAAACCCACACGCCAAACAGAATTTAAGATGCTATCGTTGCACAGAAAATGTGATATTATTTCAAAGCTGGATATGTACTCGTAATATTTTATTTTTAAGCAGCAATGGACATGCAGCGCTACAAGTCTTCCAAAGAAAAACGATCAACTGTATCTCTCTGAATAACCGAAGCTTGCATGCTTCTAAATCTTATAAGATTGGTTTGCGACCGTTAAACAGTTAGAGGAGATTTTAAACAATAAACATATGAAACAATTAATCATGAAATTTTCATACGCAACGAATATGGTAATATCGTCTTGGCACACCATACATGATTCTAAGTGTTTCAAAGACTCTGAGCATTTTATAATATCCTTTCAGATTTCGAGTGAGGGTACAAATGCATAGCAATCATATTTACTAAATAGATTAATTAATAATACTATATGCGATTTTTCTGCTAAGTTCTTCAACTCTTTTCAAATACTTTAAAAGATTCTGCCATCTTTTTTGCGCAGTGCAAGCTTTTTCCCAAATACATCAAAGCTCTATTCTTTGACTGCTCCTGCGCATGAAATTCAATTATGTTTGCCGAAACTCACCGTCAAAACATGACTCGAAATGAGTAAAAACAAGCAGCATTACTCGATTTAGCTCATTCATGCACTCACTTTGTCTCTAAACTGTTATCTTTCGTATTTTTATTGATAAAACAAACTGTTTTCGTTGTAGTCCTGGAAGGGTACCATTCATTTAAACGTTTACCAACTCCTCAACTGCAATGCTTCTCCGGCGGTAAATTGACTCGGTGCCAACCTCAATATGCGAGAACTTGGAGGTTGCGAATGAGCTTTTCTTGGAAAAGCGGTCAAAGAGGCGGGTCCAACAAGTGGGTGAAATGCTACAAAGAAACCCATGGGAACTAGTTACTCAGTAAGCGTAGAGTAAGATGCGCGCATATAAAAAAATGGTCTTGAAGAAAGCTGGCAACAGAAGCCAGTTCAGAACTCAGCTCACCACAAAACCTTTGCTGCTGTTATTATGGCGATTTTTTCACTTAGCGTTAGTCGTACTATTTGACACCTACTCGAGCACCAAGTTATGGGTGGTTCATAAGCTTTAAACCCGACAGCGGCGCAGATGCTCGAGTTGTTCTGATCAAGGCCATTGGTAGTCCACAGCTAAATATTATGGGCAATGGTTCAACTATGGCGTACACAAAGTGGACGACAAGGCGTTTGCACCAAAAAACAATATGACCAAATAATTAGCATTCCAGCGCAACGTTCCAGAATTAACTACTCCCTCAACAAAGGTCACGGCCATTAAGTATGTCAATATCCCCGACTTGGCTAGAACTAGGCAGACATAGATGACCGAATCTTTGGTTCCCGCTGAGGATGGCCTGGGTGTGCCGCCCTCCTTTAATGAAAACCCTATACGTAAAATACATTGTTGGCCCACGAAGTTTTTTGTAGGTATATAGTATAAAGCACGAAATGTAATTTTCTTAATTTTTTAAAATGCAGTTTATTTATACAACAAGTAGCGTTACTCTACAAATTATTAAACTGATCAATGGCTTCGAAATTATAATATATGTATATAATATTTATAGTAGGAAATTAATTTATTTGACAGTGCAATGGCGAGCCCGAAATAAAAGCCACAACCGATTTCGTTTACGCAGACGGCACAAGGAAAGAGTGAGATTAAATACAAAAATGTAAAAAGATATGAACATATGTATGTTTTTATATAATTGCGTTAATCATGCCGATAACAATTTACAAGAGATTTTTAATTAATCAAAGCTGCTTTTATAATTTGTAACAGCGAAACTGAAAAGTATGTTAACAGTAGGTAGGAAGATCGCTACAGGTTGATTTTTGAAATTGTTATACATTGTATGTATTATCGTTGGTAGATTTGTTGACAAGCGGGCCATAAACGTATATAACCAGAGGTTTTAAATATTTATCTTTTTATTTGAGTTCAAATTACGTTTACAATAGTAATTTAGTATTAGATAGCAAAAATATCCGTAGAAAATGTATTTTAATAATAATATGATATTTAAAATCAGATTCACCCTATCGTTAAATAGTTGAATCTTTTCATCTTGTAAATAAAAACAGTAACGGAATAACACAAATCAAAATTGAAAAAGTGGTTTTCATTACAAAAATAAGGAGTTACAAACAATATTCGTAGTCAGAGGAGTGAGTGTTACATATTGCAAGACCGGTGTATCAACTTAAATATTCTAACAGTGCAGGTACTTCATAAAATTCGTCGCCTAAGGCGAGTTTTAAAATGACCAGCCACATTGGGCAGCACTAACTATGATTATGACTAAATTAGAAATCAAAAAGTCTACGTACTCAACAATTGATGCTAATTTAAACCAACATAATATCTCGCGGTAGTTTGATTAACACTAAATAACGACTTTCTTCAATGTGTTTCGTACGTTTTTCAGGTAATATAATAATTTTTATGTTGTTTTCAATAAAAATCTATTTTTTGTTATATTTATTTTTGATAGTTAAACATTTGATCTTAATATGCGCAACTGATTGATTTGTTTTTGAAATTGTATATAATAAGTTTATTTTTATGTAAACCAAACAAGTTCATCAAAAGTACGCTTACTTTATTAGTTAACAACATTAATAACATTACCATTATGGCATACCTTTTTAATATATACAAATTTGTGATTTCAATCATCTCTATTGATTTGAGCCTCTTTTTCTATTGAACGACAATTTTTTAAAACTTCAATACATCGATGTTTTTTGCGACCATGCGTCGATTTTATATAAAGAGACATCGATGTTTTCCCTTCGACTTACATCCCTAAATAGTCTCTGCTGAACGGCTGTGATTATTGTTTTATTATTTGGTCACTTTAACAATGGACGGCGGCAAATGTAAGTAAATAACGTGTTATGTCCGCCTTTGCCAGTGCATCCCCTGTCGTTACGCCGGCTAGCCATCGGCTCAGGGTCAGATTCGACCGCGACAGGGGTGCGGCAGACCAACAATGAATTTATATTTTTTTATCAAACACACCTACTCATATTGTCGGCTGAGGGACGCCTGTGGAATTTGGGTGGAGTTGTGGCTACTTTGGTGTCATGTAGCCGCGTGGCCCTCCCTACCTTGAGCCGGTTTTGGCATTTTGTTGCCGGCTCCCTTCAACATGCTTGCTTTGGTTTCCCTTCTGCTCCGGGACTTTAGTCACCCCATCTCACCCCATAAATGGATTCTACTCCAGACTCATTTTCAAATTTTAAATTTTATTACAATAAAAATATATTCGGGTATTTAGGCCATTGAGTTTTGGGACGCTGCAGTTTGTTGGCTCTTTGTGCCTATTTATCTTATTCGATTTTCGAACCTCCTAACCTACCTATACTCGAGTATGTGGTTATGAGGGGTGTAATGATATGTAATGACAAGGAGATAAACAAAAAAAAAAACTGCGCCGCTCCAATACACATTCCAACCTCTTTTGCTTATATTAGACTTTATACATTTTCTTTTACTTTTCTTTTTTTTTTATGTTCTTTTTTCTTAAGTATACATTTGAATTTTTGTTTACAATATGGTTACTTGTTTGGTGTTGTGTTTCTGTTTAATGTTTTATATTATGTTGTGAATGGTTTGGGCTATGTGTGTAACAGAAAATTGTTAATTGTTTTGTGTGTTGTTTTTTTGTTTTGTATTTTACATTATGTGGCTATGGGCGTGTGTGTATTACAATATGGTTAAATGTTTGGGTGTTGTGTTTCTGTTTAATGTTTTATATTATGTTGTGAATGGTTTGGGCTATGTGTGTAACAGAAAATTGTTAATTGTTTTGTGTGTTGTTTTTCTGTTTAATGTTTTATATTATGTTGTGAATGGTTTGGGCTATGTGTGTAACAGAAAATTGTTAATTGTTTTGTGTGTTGTTTTTTTGTTTTGTATTTTACATTATGTGGCTATGGGCGTGTGTGTATTACAATATGGTTAAATGTTTGGGTGTTGTGTTTCTGTTTAATGTTTTATATTATGTTGTGAATGGTTTGGGCTATGTGTGTAACAGAAAATTGTTAATTGTTTTGTGTGTTGTTTTTTTGTTTTGTATTTTACATTATGTGGCTATGGGATGAATGTGAGTCTGAGTGCTATGGAAATTCGGTGTGTGTTTGAATATGGTGTATGTGAACATGTATGGAGTGTATATAAAGGAGTGTGTGGTGTATATAAAATTTTGTGTTCTATGTTTGAGCGGAATATGTGTGAGTATTTAGTTGAATTTTGTGTTATATGCTGCACTGGTGTATGTGAGATGGCTATGTATATGTATGTAGGGTGTATATACAATTTTGGTTCTATGTTTGAGCGGAATGTGTGTGAATATTTAGTATTTTAATGTTGAAGGGTACTTAGCCCAGACTTCCAGTTGCATGGAAATTGGCCTGACTTCCGCTAGGGCCGAGGTCCGGCCTAAGACCCAGTACTGCCGGTCGGTGCTGACCCGCGCACAGCGCACTTCCCAGAACGCCCGCAGTTACTGCTACTCCTCT